AACCCCCAATGGGGTAGAGCATGCACTACAATTTCGCGGGGGCAGAACGCAACAGGGTTCATAAATGATGATGAGCTTCATGCAGTTGAGATGATTGTCAGTCTACCAGTGAAGACTGCATACCGGTTAGGATACAGTGCTTTCGTCCACGCCAGATGCTATCGGATATAATGTTCATGAGGTGTTTTGGGGATTGTGAGTACGGGCGGGTTCCCAACAGCCCCTCGGACTGTTTGTTCGAGGTTGTCTCCTCTAGCACTTTGGCTCAACAGTCTAACCACAATGCAGCGGTAGCGAACGAACGTATTCAGTGGCGGTTCACAGCCGCCCTGTCACAGTACGGTCACCAAGTTGCGAGACATTTACAGGTTTTTGGCCTGCCAGACCTCAGCTCACCGCACCCTGGTAGCTCTGGTACTGTTGGTCCGTGACTGCTTATTCGCGAGACCCGAGAGTCTGCTTATTTCGCTTAAAGCTGTTCCACTATCCGCCACCTGTAGACGCGCCGGGTAGCCAGCAGCCAGACTAACGGGCAACCCGCCTTCTCGGATGCAATCATGTTCACACAATGCACAGATTTGGTGATCTTAGACCCTTTTACCCGCTGCTATGATATATTTTAGTACGAGATTCTACAATGGCCGCCCCAATCTTCTTGGAAGCTGTGCAGCAATCTGAAAGTTACGATACGCGCCCAGGCACCATAAATAAACCGCGATAATGAATTACGATTTCAAACGGAAGATAAAAGAAGTTATAACCACATTTTTATTGGCCTCTATGTACGGAACGCTAACTCCTTCATCGGACCTTTCGCATTATTCGGAATATATTCAATCGAAGGGATGCTACTGCAGCCGTCCAATTGTTTTTCCGTAGATTTTTAGATGTTTCCATTAAGTCACTGTCTAAAAAATGACTGATAAAAGTTTTTCTTGTAGTAAGTTTCTGAAGACCTATCCGCGCACGCAATCTGCTATTTGAAAAAGAAAACCATATGCCTTTTAAGCAAGTTTTGCTATTATTGCACTTCTCCGAAGTATAAATATGTTCTTGCTTTATTCGAAGTGCCTCCAAAAAGGGGGAGACAACAGGAATGTCGTACAGCTGATCTAATAGATCGCAAAACAGCGTAACGCGTCCCATCTAGAAGCCTTCTTCAAATATAGGTTTCTCGATATGGGTCATAAGACATCGCACAGATGTCCCCTTGAGAGTAAGGATGACATATTTCGGCAAGATCTTTGCTGGCAAAAGACAAGATAAACTAGCAGTAGAAAGCCTTACAAAATATAAGACTAAAAAATCGGGTTTCAAATGTTTTTGGATTTGGAACCCTGGAAGAAACGACCGATTGACTGTCTTATGGAAGAAGTCAGTCCTGGTTTTTGTTCCGGCTCGTCGGGAATGCCTAAAGCAGAAGGATAACAACAGATAGCTGGTAATATGCGCGGGAGCGAAACATGCGTAATCGTC